TGCAGAGAACTTCAGACGAGCCGGTCCTGGGCAGAGTTGTTATAGCTTTGCTTTTTCTAATTAGATTTTTTTTATTTCATTTTGAATTTTTGTTTTAAATTCAGTTTAGTTTCAATAAGTTTCCAGAGATGGATTCTCTTGTTTTAGTTTAGTGTTTACTGCATGGAAAGTTTTGCCAGCCTTGTACACATCTAGTCTCAATAAACATGTCTATCAGCTCTCCCATCAGACAAGCTGTAGTACAGAGGCGGAGCCAGACACTTGAAACACCTGGGGCTTAGCCCAAAAGGGTAGTATCATGTGCGATTTTTTTTTTTCTTTTGGGGGGGGGTAGAAATGACTGAAAGATTAATTAGGCTCTGTTTTGAGTTTTGTTCAAAAAAGAATGACTTCATATAGGGAAAAATATATATCACATTGCAGGACACCTTAAACTAGTTTTTTAATTAAGCAGCAAGGCAGAACAAGTCAGGGCTGTATCAAGACACGAGGACTAAACCCCAATTCAACCAGACCCAGAACTGATCCAGAATTAAAACAGGACTACAACAGTTCAAAATCAGGACTACTTGGGATCTTAACCAAGACAGAACCAGAATCAGAACTAGATGATAGTAGCACTAAAAATCATCATAGACCTGCACTACACTTATTTTTTAATTCTACCAAAGTACAATATTTAGATTGAGAAAAGTTTATATAATTATTTAGCCTTGTTGTGCAAACAAGCTGCATAACTTAATAAATTAGAATTTGAAAAATAACAAACCTAAAAAGAAACACTAGGTACGAGATACATGAGTACCTATGATACGGTGATACTTTTGGTAAACAACCATTTGACTAACATGTGTGTCTCACCTGCTCTTGTTCATCTCTGTTCTGTCCTCATTCTCCTCTCTCTCCCTCTCTGTCCTCTCTCTCCTCTTTGTGCTGACAATCATCAAATATACAGTTGAAACCAGATATTTAAACTCTTCAGATAAAAACACTTTTTTAATTGTAACATCAAATCAGACTAAATGTTTATTTTTTTAGATTGATAAATATAAAAAACATATTTGTTAACTTTAAGAGTAAAGAGAGAAATTCTGTATTTCTTAATTGCAAATGGCACCAAATTGTATTCAAACTTGAGCCACACTTATGGAGCTCCACAGTTCTTTTCCTGGTGTTTTGGTTGACATCTCTTGATGTTCCCATGTCAAAGAAACAGGCTCTGTGTTTTGCCTTATATGCATCCACAGCTGTGCCACCAATTTACTCACATGGACTCTACTAACCTATCAGAAGCTTCTTCAGCTCAGAATGGAATCGTCTGGAGTTTTCTTATTAATTAACAATAAACTTAGTGTATATGTACTCCTAAATTTGATGAAAGTGATAAAAAATAGACAGCTCTGTCTCTCTTTATTCTGACATTTAACTAATTCAAAAGATATTTCAATATTTATCTAAAACAAAAGTTTACTCTAAATTGATGTTGTACAGTAAAAATGTTTTATGTTTTCTCCCTAAAGTGTATGTAAATATCTGGTTACAAATGTGAATATCCTGCTGTGTACTGAAATCCCTCTTGTTTTGCATAGAAATATACTGAACAACATACAAAGCATAATATATAAAATAACATTTACCTGAGTTTTTTCTTTGAAAGAAGCCCTCTAATGTCCATTCTTATATTTCAGTACATAACTGAAACCGATTTAGGGTCCCCGTAAGCTAAACTCTCTAAAGAAACAGCATTGTTGTTGTTCGGCTTTTCATTTCGCCATTTGTTGATTCACTTGAAGAGCAAGTAACGTAATATTGGTCAAGTGATCAGTTTGATATCAATCTTTCGTGATGCACCGTCATATTTACATTATTTGTACAGTACGAATGATTTGCTTTGGTACCTGGTCAAACTTAAGCTCTCCTTAGTATGGCTGGCTCCGTTTCTCCAACAGCGCACTCACAGGCAGCAGCTGCCCCGCCCCCTCGCTCAGTCGCTTAGTGCCTGAGCTCGGATCATACCAATATCAGGGGGGATTCACGCACAGTCGTAAATTCCCACAGTGTGCACTATGTGCTTCGAATATTGTGTGTACTTTTTGTTTTATACAGTTGTCAGCCAGGCATCTAACTATGAAAAAATTACACTCCAAAAGACCCCGGGCTTCTGACAAAACAACCCGGGCTTAAGCCCAGTAAGCCACCCCCACGCTCCATCCCTGCTGTAATACAATTTTTACCAAACTAACACTAAAACAAAGAACGATTCTTCTATATTTTTATTGTAGTTTACTAAATTGTTTCATTTAATTTTTGATTTTTCAACATTTTTTATGTTTTAGTTAACTAAAATGTTTTTACACATTTAGCTTCAGTTTTAGTTGAGTTTCAATAACCTTGCTCCTGCGTTTAGTATGTGCAATTTTAATGCAATTTAACTAAAGAAAATGGGTTATTTCCAAACTATTTTGTTTTACAGAAATGGCCACATTGTATGAAGATTCCATTTAGAAAACAGATTATGGCCATCCTTCAAAATAATAACAACACTAAGTTGCACTTCAACAATGTGTCTTAGTTCTTCACACAATTTAAAGTCAATTTTCATCATGTTCTCTCCCACCCGCCTGTGCAACCCACTGTTGCAACCCATAGTTCCCCACTTACAGGTGATAACAAGGTGGTCTTCTTCCACTCGTGTGCTTTCGGGACGTATAGTCAGATCTATGCTCCCAGTGTCCAGGTTCCTCTGGTTAGTTTTGGAGTTGTACGAAGCAGGAGAGAGGCAGTGATCTCTTAGCCACACATAGTTAAAATGCATCTGCGTCCCTCCATAGTGCAGTTCTGGTGATTTCAGACATATGTGTTCAGGGGTTAACAGCGAAATTTGTGATAACATAAAAACAAACAAACAAAACCAGGCATGCGCAAACCGGGTTAAAAGGTTACAGCTAAACCCACCAAGACACTCCTCGTGTGTGCGGAAAGTAGCACAAGCCCTCCGTGGCAAAGCCGTGCTCCTGCTGACACCACGCAGAAGCTGAGCCTGTCTCAGCACACTCCTGTGCAATCTGCAAAACATTTCAGGTGCAAACACACATAGAGATGCACTAAAAAACTGAACTGAACCCCAAAATTTAAAATGGTTTTCCGTTAAGCCTCCCAGCAGTAATCCGACCAACTAAAGCCACAGCGGCGTGCATGCTGGTGTGTGTTTCTCCCTTCAGCCCTTCACTTGCACACAAGAGAGTCTTAAAACTTGTAAAAAGTTCTTGGCATGGCGTAAAAGTCCAAATTAATTATTAAGCGACTCCTCCTGCAGAGTTGCTGCACTCCTCCATCAGTTGGCTCTTCTTCTTCTTTGAGCTTTTCTCTTTTGTTTCGCTTGGGGCAGCAACCATCAGTGAAGTTGCATTACTGCCATCTTCTGGATTTCAACCACATCAGAGAACCCGGATCTGCTTCCCCGCCGTCTTTACACACTTTAATTTGAATTAAACACACGAAGTTCTTTTTACTTATCATAACCCACAGTCCCCTGGCGGCTGGGATAGGATTCAGGACCCCGGTGGCCCTGAACTGAATAAGCGGAAAAGATTGGATGGAAGGGCATCTGTGTTAAATGGCAGAGCTTTTGATGGCACAGTTTACCACCGTTAATAAATGCGCCGTTTAAAGATTACTTTCCAGCTCGGCGATAGGAAGCCTTTTTATGAACCTGATGGATATCGGCAGGAGAAACAGAAATGAAGCCCAAATGTAGCTTGCCGACCTGTAAGAGTCCGGGTCATGTTAGTGAGTGGACAGCTGATAGAAACATGCTTGCTGGCTCCCTCTGGAGTTGAAACTGGCACTCCATCGGGGAGCTTAAACTCATTAGCTGGCTTAATACCTATTTCCTTGCCTCCTGTTTACTACACGTTTTTTTTTTTGTGCCACGCAATAAAGAGTTGGCAGCTCGTGGTTTGTTTATACTTTGCATATACAAGAGGGTTTTGGCAGGTGGGGAACTTTAAGTTCCAAAAAGTGATTTCCGGTATTTGCCAAATAACTTTTGTCCGTATTTAAACTGTTGTAAATAACTTGTTGGCCTATAATCTGTGAAACATATGTCAAATATATCTTTCATGAATGATATCAAGTCACTTTGAGCCAGAAACAATATCCCTGCCACAATGTAGAAGCCGCAATCTGTTTTGTTGTTGTTTTATTTTTTGTTTTTTTGTTGTTAAAAATGCTTTTATATCTCTTTTATTTATTACAGTAAAAATCACTGACATTAAAAATGGCTTTTTAAGAGAGATCAGCCCAAGAGGGCAGGAATTGCAAAAAATAAATAAATAAATAAATAAATGTAAAAAAGAAAAAAGGAAAGAAAAGGAAAGGAAAGGAAAAGAATCGTTTTATAAAGATATTTTGAGTGGTCAAAAAGGACTGGGTTGATTATAATGGGGTACAACACTGCAGAGACATAAAAAAAAAACCCTTAAAAACAGGTCCTTTTTAAAAATATAATAACCCTTCATAAATCCTGTTGATTACAGTTTATTTAATAATATAAGATGTCACACATAAAAAAACACACACAGAAACACCAGAAATCACTATTTAGCCCAACACAGAAACAACAGATGGGACACGACTCTAAACAGCTGGGATGAAGGTCAAACTTGGAATTCTTATATTCGGATTGATGACTCCTTCTGGAAGCAAGTCCAACATCTGGGCACTTTCATTTAACTTTTATTTTAATGAAATAAAAACTGCATACATAGGCCTACAATGTCAAGTCAAATTTGATCAAATTAAATGTTTTCTGATGTTGTCCTCAAATAAACTTTTAAAACTTTTACCAGCATCTTTGCTGTCACAAAAGTCTCCAATACAATTCACAGTTCTTTCACTGCTCTCTATTTTATAATATCTCTGTAGTTACCCACGACCTAACTTACCACAATCCACCACAACACTGCAAACCCATCAGCCTTCACTATGCATCTAAACTTTTGAATAACATGAAATTATTATCGTGATACTCCACATTATGTAATAGCCTGGTAACTTCTATATGGTTCAAATGATTGGAAAGTCTAATATGGTTTAATTTAATCTTTTAATTTCCAGTCTTGGTAGCCGGGGCTCGGTCTGCCAGGACCTCTGCTCCTGGCCGCCGCCCGGCTCACATTGCACCTGACCTCTACGTGCCTCCTACGGGTGGTGGGCCTGCAGGAAGATCGGCCCATGTCCCTTTTTCGGGCTGTGCCCGGCCACCAGACGCTCGCCCTCGGGCACCCTCCCCGGGCGTGGCTCCAGGGCGGGGCCCCGCTAACTCTATCCCGGGCAGGGTGAACTGTTCCCTCGATGGTCTTTTCATAGGGGTCCTCTGAATCACTCTTTGTCTGGTCCCGGGAGGAGGCCCTGGGGCAGACCCAGGACACGCTGGAGATATTATATCTCTCAGCTGGCCTGGGAACGCCTTGGTGTTTCCCTGGACAAGCTGGAGGAGGTGGCTGGGGAGAGGGAGGTCTGGACCTCTTTGCTTCTCTGCTTGGGCTGCTGCCCCCGCGACCTGGCCCCGGATAAGCGGAAGAAAATGGATGGATGGATTTCCAGTTTGTAAGATTTCCATTGTGGAGAAGTACACACCTTTTAAGGACAATTTCCCATCTTCTTTGCCAGGAAGCATCTGAAATATATATTTTTGAAAAATAAATGAATAAAAAAAAATTATGGATAAAACCAGGATTAATTTGTATCAGAATGATCAGAAGAGAAAAGTATGAAGAAGTAACGTAGATGTCATCCAGACCTTTATATCTTTAAGAGATGTCTATAGTTAGCTAGTTGATTTGTATCTTCTAGCTTCACAAATGAATAAAGCTGGGTATCATGATGTGACCGCTGATAGAAGCAGTAGGATGAATTCTGAGTGTACAGGGCTATTCTCTCTGTTCAATTCAATTCAATTCAATTCAATTCAATTCAATTCAATTCAATTCAATTCAATTCAATTCAATTCAATTCAATTGTGCTTTATTGATATAGCACCATTATGTACCAATATTGTAAGGTAAGACCCCATATAATAGAGAGAAAACCCCGACAATTAGATGACCCCCTGTGAGCAAGCACTTGGTGATAGTGGGAAGGAAAAACTCCCTTTAAACGGAGTAGAACTGGGCTCAGAGATGGACAGCCATCTGCCATGACTGGTTGGCGGTAAGGGGAAGAAGATTCAGCCAACTTTCAGGCTCCTCTTCTGTGGAATCAGTTCCCAGTTTGCATTTGGGAGACAGACACATTCTCTTCTTCTGAGATTAGGCTTAAAATGTTCCTATTTCAACAAATTGGGGCTGGTTTGGGTGAACCTGAACCCTCTCTTAGTTAATCTGCAATAGCTCCGGACTGCTGGGGGCTTCTCATGATCCACTGATTGTTTCTTCTTCACTCACTTCTGTTTCACTCTCCATGCTGTATTTCATCGTTAATTTTAAACTCTGGCTGTCTCCCATGTGTGTCTTTTGTGCTATCCTCTCTCTGCTCTCTTCACGGCAGATGGCTACCCCTCCCTGGTTTTGCTGGAGGTTTCTTTTTGCAAGGGAGTTTTTCCTTCCCACTGTCACCCAGGACTTGCTGCTAGGGGGTTTTCTGATTATTCGAGTTTTCTATTTATTATTGTAGTCTACTTGCAATATAAAGCTCCTTGAGATATAGTGATTTGTTTTCTATATAAATGAGACTGAATTGAATTGAAAGCGGTGTAATATAAATCTATTTAAAGTTCATTAAAACAGTAAAGGAGATGAAATCCATGTGTTTTTGTGAACCAGCCCTCAGTTCACCTGTCAAAAAGACTGCATACATGCTTGTATATGTTGTATGAGTACACAGTGGAAATAGACAGGCCATTTAAGGACGGGGCTTCCTGCTCACAGTCTCCCACAGCTGCACTGTATTAAACCTAATCACATGCAGTGTGCATGTTGCAACACTGATGTCATCTGTAATCACTCAGTAATGTATCAGTAATAGGATCACTCGACTTTCCCACTGATTATTTTTTGTTTGTTTGTTAAATTAGCACAGAGAGACTATCACACTGCAGCTGGGTACACTATGTTCCAAACTGAAGTTCTTGCAAGCTAGCTGCTGGAATCACCGGGACTACGTTATTTTTTGCTTCTCTGTAGCTTGAGAGGGTAGCCCTGCTGAAAATGCTGCGGTAATGTTGCATTCTCCGCCTGTGGGACATTTAGCATTTTGTGGGGCTCAAAATGGAAATTGATTTCCGTTTTGGCCCATCAGATTCCAAAGGCTTATTTAGCACCGGTTTTGAATTATTTTTGTACTCTTTTTAAAAAAATAAAACGAAAAATAAACAAAGAATCTTTAAAAGGGTTTTTGTGGCACATAGGTAGATGATGTTTGAATAAACATCGCAGTTTAGAGAAAGCCTATAGATCAATAGGGATATACGATGCCAACGTAGAAATATCCAAAGAAAATAACAATAAGAAGCGCTACATTATCGTTTGTAATTCTCTGATTTCTGCTCATTTTGTGATAATAACTTTAATAATGAGATTCCTGAGCTCGCACGGGGAACTTGAACGCATCAGCAGCCAGCCCCTCAGAGCACAGCAGCAGTCAGATGCATGTTTACTTGCTTTGTCAGCGGTGTCCCTGCAGTAGTTATCGCATGAACCTCACCTACTGCTGATCACATCTTTGGACTTTTATCTCCGACAGTGACTTATCTCATAGTCACTCCTTATCAGCAGTTTGTGGCCAGTGTCTTGAGGACTTTGATCGAGGGGGCAAATCGAGTTCACTGTGTATGTTTTTTTTTTTTTATCTAACGGGAAAGATGACGTTAAAATCCAATAAAAACGATCCCACTGTCACACTGGAGTCCGTGAACAGCGTCCGGACAGCCCTTTCCGATCTCTACCTGGAGCAGCTCCTTCAAAACAAACCAAAGTCTGACAAGGTAAGATGATCTTTTTTGTATATATATATACCTTATTAATTTATTTAGACCCCTCTGATTTCGCTGTTCTTATTTGCTTCCGGGAAGCAGATACGGGGACATGTGATCGTTGTTTATTTCCGAACAAGATCTCTAAGAATAGACCCGTTTATGTTTTCATACTGCAGCAGCTGAATGTGTTGATCTCTTAAACAAAGAACATTTAGATCTTTACTGTGTTAGCAGCTTCTTCATTGCTCAGCACTATCGGTCAGCCTCAGCTTGAAATCAGCAGACATTGCTGTGGCAGTTTCAGTTCTCCATTTCTCACAAATTCACGCAAGTATTTTGACAACTTGGGGAAAACATTAGGGAAGGGTTTTTTTTTGTTGGTTTTCTTTTAGCCATCATAAGACTATGTTCCTGTATTTCACAGAGTAGTATGAACTGTCTCACTAACCAGCTGGGCTATAGTGATATGAACGCATTTAAGAGCGGCAATAAGATCATAAAGAAGTAACATGTCAGCTGTGAAGTCGTTTCTGGGACTGTGCCTTCGTACAGTTTTGAAACATATTGTGTAATTTTGCTTACAGCTTACCCTGAGCCTCTGCTCAGGAATCAGTCAAGTAAAAGTTGTTTACACCACACTGCCAAGCACACTGTTAAACTTGTTTGCATTTTCCTCCCCTTAAAGATCCTGGAGTATGTCATGAAAATACTGTCTTTGCCTCTAACAAAGACTAAGCTAACAAGTATGACTGAAAA